ATTATTCATATTTTATTTATGTAATTAATGTTGTTTGTTAGTCACCAAAGTGGCCAAAAATTATAGTATTTCGAACACTAAATTACATAATTTATTTGTCAATTGCTCTTGATAGTTTGATGTTTATAAATGAAGATGACATTGTGATTATTATTGTCTAGAGTACATTGACATTCACAGATTATAAGATTACATTGATGTTCATAGATTATAAAATTTATTATGAATTGCTCAAAGCTTGATCAGTTAATTTTATTAATCTTGAACATGATCGTGGTTAATTAATATACTTAGTTAGATGTGTTTTGTATATCCAAAGATGACATACATGTTTGATTAAAGTATATTTAATTACCAATAAGTGAAATTAAATTAGCATCATTATGTTTATTATGATGGTATAATGTAGTATTACCTAAAGGAGAACTACAGTATACATTTATTGTTATTTGAATCTGAATTTAAGTATTTAAATCTAAACTCAAAGCATTAATGTTTGAGCATTTTATATTTTGCAGTATCTGTTCACATTTCTCTGCATTCGCATGCTTCAACTGTACCATTGTTTAATAGGCTCAATTTCTTTGATTGGTGTGAACAAGTCCAATTCAATTTAGGTGTTTTGGACTTGGACTTGGCTCTTCAAGTTGAGAAACCTGCTGACCTTACTGATGAGAGCAGTGCTGATGAAAGATCTTCCCATAAGGCTTGGGAAAGGTCTAACAGATTAAGCCTAATGTTTATGCGATGACCTTAGCAAAGAATATCGAGTCTATTATCCCAAAAACTGAGATTGCTAAGGAATATATGAAGTTTGTGGAAGAACGTTCACGAAAAGCTGACAAATCACTTGCTAGCACACAGTACCTTAACCACCATGAAATTTGATGGTTCTCATACTATGCATGATCATGCTACCAAAATGAGTAACATTACAGCAAGATTTAAGACTCGTGGCATGACTGTGGATGAGAACTTTCTGGTACAATTTATCATCAACTCGTTGCCTCCTGAGTATGGTCCATTCCATATGAACTATAACACCTTGAAGGATAAATGGAATGTGAATGAATTGCACAGTATACTCGTGCAAGAGAAGACAAGGCTTAAAAATCAAGGAATTCATTCTGTTCATCTTTTAAGTCATCAAGGAGTTGGAAAAAAATATAAGAAAAGGCCTGGAAAGGGCATAAAGCAAAGAGCGCTAAAAATAAATGAGTCTTCTGCCTAAATCTACAAAAAGGAACACAAGAAAGATACGTGTCATTTATGTCGTAAGACTAGGCACCATAAAGGGACTGCCTGAAACATAAGGCATGGTTCGAAAGTAAAGGTAAGATTATTTCTTATGTATGTTTCGAATCTAATTAGGCAGAAGTTCCTTATAATACTTGGTGGATTGATTATGGATATACCACTCATGTTACTAATATAATGCAGGGATTCTTTTCAACCCAGGCTATAAATCCAAATGAAAAGTTTGTCCTCATGAGAAATCGAGTCAAAGCTCCAGTTGAAGCCATTAGAACTTATCGTTTGATTTTAGATACTGGACATCATTTAAATTTATTTCAAACTCTTTATGTACCTTCTATTTCTCGTAATTTAGTTTCCTTATCGAAACTTGATTCCGCTGGATATTTCTTTAATGGTAGAAATGGATGTTTAAGTTTGTTTAAACAAAATCTTCTCATTAGTTCCGCTATTCTTTATGATGGCTTATATAAATTAAAGTTCAATAACCTTTTTACTAAGACTCTTTTAACCTTGCATCATAATGTTGCTACTAAACGTGGTTTGTTGAATGAATGATCTGCTAATTTATGGCATAAACATTTGGATCACATATCCAAGGAAAGGATAAAAAGATTGGTAAAAAATGAAATCCTTCCTGGCTTGGATTTATATGGTGATCTTGGAACTTGTGTGGATTGTATTAATGGTAAACAAACTAAACATAAAAAGAAAGGAGCCACAAGAAGCACACAGCTTCTTTAGATAATACACATCGATATATGAGGGCCTTTTAATGTTCCATCATTTAATGGAGAAAAGTATTTTATCACCTTTATTGATGACTTTTCACGTTATGGTTATGTCTATCTGCTTGATGAAAAGTCTTAAGCTGTAAATACTTTAGAGATCTTTGTCAATGAAGTTGAACGGCAATTAGATAGAAAGGTAAAAATTATTAGATCTGATAGATGTGGTGAATATTATGGAAATTATGATCTTGAAAGACATGGCATATGTTCTCAATACATTATGCTAGGCACACCACAACAAAATGGTGTGGCTAAAGGCGTAATTGTAAGGCAGTTCCAAAATCCCCCTTTGAACTGTGGACGGAAGGAACCTAGTTTAAGGATCTTCATGTTTAGGGTTGCCCGACAGAAGCAAGAATTTATAATCCACATGAAAAGAAACTTGACTCAAGAACAATTAATGGATTTTTCATTAGTTATCCAGAGAAATCAAAAGGGCATAGATTTTATTGTCA